TTGAAGTGGGTTTTTCATGATAAAAGAAATCTGCGACAAATCCCATAAAATAAAGCTAACAAAACTGGACAATATTTGATTAGTTGAATGACGAAAGATGCAGATATATTTACATATATACATTTACCAAACATAACCCGCGTCATACATAAATACATACTCTATTTGGATGAACAGAAAATAAATAAATTAAGTATTCACTCGACCACAACGACGCAAAACGAAACCCACTTTGGTTTTCAATCGTGCTTCGCTTTGCTCTGCTTTTGGATAATGTTTTTTTTTGCTCTGGATATATATAGTATATATCTTCGTGGTCGCTCATACATGTTCTTTTTATTATTATTATTGCTTCTGCTGGGGTTTCTTTCCATTTCTTTTGATGTCAAAACAAAGCCAACAGCAAATGTTTGTAATTGCTTATCGCCACAAACTGTTTACAAAAGCCAGCATGCTTCACATACAAATATGGGCCATTCATTCAGTCATTCTGGCCAGACCAGGGGTCACCTTTTGGCTTCTCGTTTAGTATTTGCCTCTATAAAAAGCATAATATTATATTTTTTTTCAACAAAACGAAATTGATACTGCTTTGGAGAAGAGAGAGAGGACAGGCACTCAAACACACAAGATGGAATTATGGTTAAAAAGTTCATAAAAACCGCAGAGGGGGAAGTGCACATGTCAATCGTTTGAATAATGCTTTAAGCATAAATATAATTTTGTGTCTTATGTTTATGATTTTGCTTCGAAATTCCCCAGAAGTTGGCTTTAGTTATTCATATTTTTAAAGATTTTTACTTACAAGAATATGGGGTATGTGGATTTTAAAAGATTTTTACTCATAAGAACAGATCCTCCAACTGTCAGTTGGTTTCTGGAAGCCAAGTCCCCTTTAGAATCATCTTCAGACAGTGTCAGACAGTGAGCAGGTGTTACCATTTTATGCGGATATCCACATCAAGTGCTTTGCAGTTATATAATACTCGGTAAACTTGATATTTCTTGGCATATATATTTATTGGTAATAACATTTTTAAGAGACACAACGTGTCCGGGTTGAAGGGAATCGGATATGGATATGAATACAGGAGGGCTGGGTATTAAATGTCGAAATCAATATAAAAGATTGTGGCACACAAATGTGTGTGTGTGTGGTGTGTACTCTTTATATATGGAGTTGCAAAATGTGTTGGTAGCATCAATTTTTCATTTCCTCAAGACACTCAAATATGGAATCCTAATGCTTAAGGACATTTTAACAGGATGTCGCATGAAACCAGTATATCACCGGCAGCAGGATCAGCAGTGGTCTCCCCCTCGGATGCCTCCTCCAAAGTAGAGGTCATTGTGTATACCACCAAATCGGATAAGACTCTAAAACAGAATATGAACGCCAAGGATGATACATTAAGGAAGCGCACATCCCTCATAATTGTGCCCCAGCAGGTGGATGATGTTCGGAGCACAAATGAAGAGGTGCAGGTGGAGTCTAAGAGCCGGGAGAATGGTAACAATCGGAACTCTGTGGCCAGCATGGATAGCTGTGTGTCCAACACCACCAGCCAAAGTAATCAGTCTAGCTCTGTGTCGTCCGCCTCCTCATCGTCTAGTAGCACCAGTGGCTCCGATGTGGATGCCCATGCTGCTTACCAGGATCTACAGAATGGCAACACAGGCCAGGAGCTCCACTCACCTGCATCATCACCATCACCCTCGCCAAGGTGCCACTCCTCCTCCAGCTCATCCTCCGCCTCGGAATCCACCTCCTGCTGCAGCTCTGCGGATTACTCATTGCGTGAGCAACTCAAAAACTTTGCCAATCGGAATTCGGAGCCGGAACAGCTAAGATCTTCTGGTGGAGAGCTGCCAGTTAATCGTCTGCTCAAGGGGATGAGTCTGCCAGTTGGATCAACAGATCAACAAGCCACACCAGTCAGCGGTGCTTTATGCGATGCCCTGTTGAGTCCCCAGGAAGTGCCGCTGGGACGGCGTTACGCCGAGGTGTCCCAATTCAAGGGTCATGCCAAGGCGAGGTGAGTTTGCAGGATTTAAATAGTAAATTATATATATATTGCTGAATTCTCTATACATCAACTTTACATCCTTTTAAGCCTAAAAAGAGCCATCCTTTTTGTAGAGAAAATCAAGTGACTTGCACTTCCTTCTTCTTAGTTATCAATAGGCCTACTCCTACTCCTATCTTGACAGCAACAAAAAGTGACCCAGTCTCTAAAGAAGCTCCTCCAGTTTATCTAACCACAAACACTTGGCAGTCGTCTCCTCTTCTCCTGTGACTTCACCTCCTGTGGGGTCCTAGTAGTGACGCTCTCCCTGTCGTGGCTGCATTGTTTGCTAAACGATGTCAACTGGCTGCTCGAGTCGAGTCGAGTTGAGTTGAGTTGAGTTGAGTCACTTCAGGCATCCTGCCATTGAGCTGGAGGAATCCCCTGAGCCGCTCCCGACAGACCAATCCATTTCTCATCTCCCTGTAGCTGCACATGCATAATACACAACTTAATTAGTAATACTACTTTATGGCACTCCCGGCGAGGCAGCTGCAGCTTCCTTCTGCTCCTGCTCTGGCTCCTACTCCTCCTCCAAGTTGGCCTTTTCAGCTTTGGTTTGAAGCGAGTAAAAATCTAATAATGGAGCATTCCACACACGCACTGCCATTGCCACATTACCATATCAAAAACGGTTGGGTTTGTGGCCCTCCTAGAGTCCCGAGGGCATAGACATGGGGTTAACTGCTTGGTCCTACTCCAGGTCCTGCTCCAGGTCCTGCTCCCACACCCCTCCCCCCAACTCAGAAGTGCAGTTGTGTGAACTTTGAACGCACTGAACTCCTTTTGCACACACACACATATTTGGTGTGTCGTCTGTCAAATGGAGAGGAGCAAGAAGGGAGGACGAAGCACTCTCTAGACTCCTCTGGCGGCTTCCATCGCATCCATTGACAACTATGTTGAACTTTTTGAAAGCTGTCACAACTAATTTGCATACGCCCTGCACTTCCATCTCTCACTCCTTCTACAAGTTTCGAATCCAATCCAATCCAACCGCATCCTGGTGGCAGTGAAGAGACCATACCACCCGCATCCCCATATATCCTGTGCCTTTGTTGTACATATGCTTCCTTTTTTTTTGTTTTGCTTTCCACACTTTGATTTAGACCCGGCAGAGAGAGCCTTTTCCTCCAGTGTAAATATTCATGGGGCAGCAAGAGGAGCTGAAAAACTTTTGACAATTTTCGGGCCAACTGTGATTGTGCTGCTGCTACTCCGGGGAATGAGTGGTTTGAGGGCCAAACTTTTCAAATTTTCAGTAAGGCCCCCCAATAATTGAGTTAGCTGGAAGCGAAATCTTCAAATGTTTGCTCTTTTTTTGAGAAAGAGAAATGTGTGGGGTATAAGTGGTTTCTTGGTTGCTCTTCAAAGTATTTGTCTGTATAGGCAGCCAAAAGTTAATTTAATAGACTCACAGAAGACTAGGAATCCTTAAAATATTATGTTTAATATAAGTTTTAAGTAAAACTTTTATATACAACACAGTTCAAGTTATTTGTTTTGTTTATTGTATTATCTTTGCCTCTGTATCATAACAAATTTCAAGGTCTTGGCCAAATTATGGATAAACCAGCTATTACTCACGGTTGCTCACTTCAATTCCCCAGACATTTACACTTAATTTTATGGCCCCAATTGACCTTCAATCAGCAGGATCCATACAGTAACCGCCGCGCCACAGGACACCGACCCAGACCTAGAACCAGACCAAGGCCCAGGCCCAGGCCCCTAGGTCCTGTGTAGTCATTGCCACTTAATCTTAATTGCCAAAAGTGAAGGCATTTCCATACGTTACATCAGTAGAGGCAGTGGTCCTAGTCCTACGCCAACTCCTAGTCCTGCTCCTGCTCCAAGTCCTTTTCCTACTCCTATATCCATCCCACCCCAAAGCTGTCATTTTGCTATTTTGTTTATCGCTTCGCCTTTTGTTTGTTCTATAAATCCTCATAAATTCAAGCGGGTTTCGGTTGCCTTCGGTGTCCTTGAGTTTTTATAGGCCGCCTAATTTCTGAAAAGTGTTTTATTATCCACCCAACCGTCCAGGGAGTCCTCCAGCAAAAGGTCCTTGCATGTGGTTGATGTCCGTGTTTGTTTCGTGTTAATTTGACATGATTATGTCAGAGTGTTTGACAACTTGTCATATGGCTGAGTCGAGCATTTTTTCGCCTTCTTCTTGTTTATGAACACTTCTGTTTGTCCTTCAAGGAGTGGGATGATCCATCAGCGGGAAGAAGGAAGCAGGAAGTGCGCACATGCCGGCACTTCTTTTCTTATATTTTTTTTGCTGCCACTTTATTTGCTGTTGTGTGGGGCTTTTCTCTTTTCTCCCCGTCTATTCTCTAGACATTCATTAATAACATTTGTGTCCTATCGTAGAAATATTGTTAAAATGGCGTAAAATTGCCCGCTTTGAGGCGTCATGATGATGTGCGAGTCCTTGCATCCTTCGCACTTCGACCTTCGTCTTGAATTTTAGCCACTTTGGCGACGAGTATGAAAAAAACGGAAGAAAATGTGTCGCAAATTAACCTTTTGACAGGCAACTAAGGGTGCCCAAGGACTGGCAGCTGACAAATGGGTTCGGAACTCAGGATATGAGCTTAGACTTTAAGACTTAAGACTTAAGACTCTTACCGAGTGGAGAGATTTAACAGCACTTGATTGCATATAATTATAGACTGTTTTTGTATTAAAAGAATAGAATTTTCAAGTATATATTAATTATTTAATAGTTACTGAAATGTAGGGATATTTTATACTCTATGTACAATATATTTTAATATGTTTTTTTTATTAATATTCCCGTTAACACTATAAAGTAATTAATTGTGAAATGAATACATTTATTTTAGTAAATTTTCTTATTCCAAACTTGCTTCCTTAAATACTTATCTTATTATTAATTATATTTCTTATTTTAATTCCCTGCAGAACCAGCGAACCACTACCATCTGTGGGCTCCACCACAGCCTCGTCCTTGGAGGCAGCCGCCACTGTGGATTCCGCAATCAGCAAGAACATCAATAACAACATTCATCACAATGGCGGACAATCACAGCCACAGAAATCTCAACAGCAGCAGCTGAGTGTCCTGGCCAAGGCCAATCTCAATAATAATAATAATAACAACAAGAATCCGAATAGCCCGAACGGATTAGTCAGCTCCATGACATCCGCTTCGAATGTGGTGAATCAAAACCAAAATCAGAATGGTGATAGCCGTCGGAGCAGCAGCATGGATCCGGATGCAGATGCAGATGATGTGGTGGATATGGCCCACAATGGAGGAGCCTTCGAAGACGATATGGAGGCTTTGTTGCCCAAGTGTTCGCGACGCTCAAGGGATGAGCTCAGTCAGGTGAGTTTTTCTGAAACGATTTTATTTTTACCAAACTTATTTAAAGAAAGAGTAAAGTCGGGGATAGTTAGCCAACCCAAAAGGATATATAAACTGTTTCTCCTTTCCCTCCTGGGGCTGCGGCTCGGCTTGTCATTGGTTTACTCAGTTTCTTACTTACTCCTTAGAGAACCCACTAATATTTGTCGCCTCATGTGCCACATGTGGCTGCCACACAGCCAAGTGCCAATTACCAAAGCCTGCCAATGGGCCCTTCAGTGCCTGAAGCTTGGGTTCTGCTTCACTACTCCATGTACTTCTCCATCCATTTATTCCTTCATTCATTCATAATTTGCTACGTGTTGCCCAAAAAAATAATAATAATAATAATGATTATGTTCTGTCGGGTCCATAAAGTGTGCATCAAATGATTTCGACTTTGGCATGAGAATAAAATTACAATACACGTCCTTTCGTCCTTAGTTCAGTTGCTTCAGTTTCCCATTGGAGTTTCCCTTACATTTCCCTTACAGTTTTCTTCATTATTTCCAGCTGGTCGTGCGTGCTTTGGCGGTGAAAGCTTTTCCTTATTTCTAAAGGAACTTTTTCATTAATAATTGTGAATCCTTTTGCCCCCACTCTCTCTTGAGTCATCCTGCTGCCTAATGGTTTGTAATTTCCTTCAAGGAGGGTTGTGGGTGACGAGCAGAAAAGAGTTTGACAAGTCAATTTGTTAGTTAATTTGATATGCGTTGCCATGCAGCATCCACTCAGTCAGTCATGCGTTCTAATTGCTTAATAATTTCCAACAAAAAACCCATCATACTCTGCCCACTTAAGTAGGCAACAAAATCTTTGCTAACCAGATTCAAAGGACACTGAAAAAGGATGAAGAATAAATGGATATATACAAATATAGTGCCTGGGGTTTGGCAACCACAATTGAGATGGTCGAAGACCAAATTGTCTGGGGTGTGGCCAGCATCAGACTCAGACATGTGTTCACATTTTAATTTGCAAGCTGCACTTCCTCCTGTTGCACTTGCTTAAGGCACTGAAAAAATAAAAGTATATTGAAGAGAATCTGAAATAAAAGAGCATTACTTAGTATCTCAGTTTGCTCTATAGTGTATATTATATATCCAGCTAAGAACTTATCAAGTTTATTTGTACATTTATTTCCCATTTAATTCCCATTTACCATTTAATAATATTATTTGTAGTGCATTTTATCCTTCTGCCTGACCAGCAGCTGGGCATAAAATATTGATTTCAAACATGGCCAGACAGGCACAAACAGCTGAGGCCTGGCCTGGCCTGGACACACACACACATCCTTTTGCTTGGTGGTCCTGACTCCTGGCTCCTTGTTCCTTTTTGGCCATTTATGAATATTCAATAAAAACAACAGCGAACATCAACGATGGGCGATAAAAGCGTCTGGTCTCCGGTTGGAAAGTGTTGTCCTTTCTGGCCAATATTTTCCGGTGCAGAAATGATGTTGCGGTGCCGGAAAAACTCATGCAATTTTCAGAGTTCAGAGTGGGACAGGACATGCTCCAACTCCAATTCGAACTCAAGTTTTTATCGCCAGTCGCCGATCTTTCTCTCTCTCTCACGGCTGACTTTGAGTTTGAGCCTGGGAACTGGTCAACTTTATTACTTTCATTATGCTTTATCCCTGGCCGCCGGCGGTCGCCGTAGTCGTAGCTGTAGCCTCCTTTGGCCATAAACAACTTTGCCTCTAATCTCCTGGCTGTGGGCCATGTCGAGTGGACAACGTACCTGTGTCCCGTGTCCTGTGTCCTGTGGCCCCCTTTGCCAGTGGTCCCTTTTTGTGCTCCTGATCCTGTTGGGCAGCTGTTTGCACAGGTGCACACGTCTGCTAATTGCAGCGGTATTAGTGGAGCTTTGTCAGCGGCTTAAAGCATCTCTTGTCCTTGTTCATTGGGGAATTTTCTAGTTTTTTGTTCTGCCTAAGAAATACCCTTTGCAGGAGATTACTAGAATAAATAAGATTTAGAAAGGTTTTTCCTGGAAAAGAATGTTTTTTTTACATTTCATCTTTCTTAATCAAAGGTTTTTCGAAATTAAATCAGCTAACTTGCAAGTATTTTTGTTTAATAATAAATAGAACAACTTATAGTTGAGAAAACTAAAACAAACATAAACTCCTTTGAATTCCTCTCTTAAAAAATCCTTAAACCCTTCTCTATTTAAAGGGTATTCCCTGTCAGCTCCCTTCCTTTGACTTTTTTGTTGTGTATATACTTTTTTTGATTTGGTTGTTGCTTTTGCTTCTTGTTGCTTGTCAGGCGAGAGATGTTTGCTGATATTGTCAGGTGGGGCTAAAAAAAGGACCAACAGGACATGCGGCGACATGCGACAGACGACCGCAGCAATCAGGCTTGAAGGGGCTAAAAGTGTGTTGTGTCCTGTCAAAGCCAATGAGGCATCTGTCTCCCCTCTGAAGCATGTCCTGCGGTCTGCCTCTAGCCAGGTTTTTAAAGTTCCCCTCTAATGAAGTGTATGCCTGATATTCGTTGTTCATTTAGCTTTAGTTTTTTGGGGGGCGTTAAGAGTGCGACGTCTCTCGTCGTTGTCTACTCGGATTTCAATTTTCGGACCCTCTCTGCAGGACGCATATATACATACTTTGGTGTGTGCCTAATGGCTTTGACTTTTTGACAGCATCACATCGTTGTCCAGGGCCTTGTAAGTGTTCTGTTTCCCCTCCTGTCCATCCAGATGACCAGTCTCGTCTCAGACTCCGTCTCGGTCTCCATCTTGACCATCTTTAATGGCTCAGTTTATGGGCCGGCTTATTACTTGAGCTGAATGTTTATTGCATTTCCCATTTTGTGCCATTTTGGCATTTCGCAATTTGGTATTTAGAATTCGGGAGCTTAAGCTTAAGGCACTGTTGACCATTTTCACATTTGTCTCTAACTGAGGCTGTGTTAATTATGCAGGCATTTCCGTTTCCGTTTTTCCCTGCATTTTGTGCAGCAGCGTTGCCAAATTTCCGGCTTGTTAATTATGCATTCATAGTGCGACGAATGGATGGATGGATGGATGGCTGCCAGGATGGATGGGCTGCAAACAAATCGACAACATGGTGCTTCAATTAGCTCTAAAGCCCCAAACTCTAAACTAACACATTTTGCGGACAGACTGAAACTGTTTTGGGCACTGCAAAGAAAAGGAATGTTATTAAAAATAGGTGTTAAATTCTAGAATCTGTTGATTATTTGTTATTAAATTTATATCCTTGAAATATTTATAGAAATATCTCTTAAGAAAGCTTTTGTTACCAATTCAAGGTTTTACTTACTTGCTTCTTTTAGAGGAATTTATAAACTTCTGGCCAAAGATTTATTTGTCAAGTGCACTCGAAAAGGGACCTCAAAGGACGACTCTACCAGTTATATAATAAATATGGGATCTGGGAGATGCACACACTCATTCTGACTCACACCCATGTGTCACACACGTCTCCTCCTCCTCCTCCTGCGAGTGTGTGTGATGTCTAGCTGCTGTTGTTGCGTCTGCTGCTGTTGCCATTGCGGTTTTCCCTCCACTTTTCCCCCATTTTCCCCTGTCCACTTTTGGGGCGCCCGCTGATGCTGCTTCTGCTGCCGCTGCTGCTGCTGTTGCTGCCATTAAATGTAATTCTCTGTGGTTTTTATGGTTTTTTAAAACATTCAACAACATTTTACGTGGCTGCTATTTATCTTTTATTTCCACGGATGCTGCACTCGCTCCACTCGCTGCTCCCCTGATCCCTGGCCCCGGTTCCTCTGCCTTCGTGTCCTTTTCGTATCATGTCCTGTGCACGTTTTACGTTTCCATTCTTCTTGTTGTTGCTAGTTTCTGTGTAGTTTTTATGCACGTAGAAAAAATATAAATTTTATTTATTGTTTCTTTAGACTGCAAATGAAGATGTAAAATAAATAGATTTTAACATATAAACATATGTTAATACCCTTGCAGGGTATTATAATTTTAGTCAGAAGCTTGTTATGCTGTGAAGGATTCATTTCCGATCCTATAAATCATATATATTCTTGATCAGCATTAACAGGCGAATCTTTCTAGCTATTTCCGGCAGAAAAAAACTAATTTTCAAAAATTTTCAATTTTTTCTAAGAAAAGGAAAGGGGTTACATCGTTAAAATTTTCCAAAAAATTTAAAACTTTTTTAATATTAAATTAAGTATGCAGATTTATTAACCTAAGAAAAACTAGCATCGGAAAGCTTTCCGAATTGAAATTAATGCATTTTCGGCTTAAATATGAGATTTGTAAAACTGTGATTTGTTCAAAAATTGTCTTATAAAAATGCTCGATAAATATTTATTAATGCGAATATACGATCCAATAATTTAATTGCAAACTTAAAGGCTATATCAACTTGGGTTTCCAGAAGATAGTTTCCTTTCTTGTTGTATCGTTTATTTTTAGGGTAAACAAATGTTAGAAAACTAAATAAATTGCTTCCAGGAAATTGTAAGAAAAAAAGTGTTAAAGCATATTTATATTATTTTTTTCCATACATTATTTTTCGTTATAAGTTCTTTCTCTCAGTGTATCTGTTGCTGGCCCCCTGCGTCAGGCAATAACTCAGTCTCGAGTGCAATTTGCCCGCATGCACGGCCACCGCTACAGAGATGGCGAAAGGGAGACACGTGCACACCGGCTTATCGCTCTCACCTTTTGTCAAACTATTAGTTGAAAGGGCAAATTTTTCTCTTTATTTATATATATATTTTTTTTGTTTGAAAAAGGAGCAACGGGGAATACAGAATAACCACTGTGCACAGTGAAACTGATAATCAGCTTTATGGGAACAATGGCGGCGCATCATTCACCCACGGTATATATATATGATTTTTGTGAAATTAATTTCACGCCGAGACCTGCGACCCTGATAAGAGAGGCTTTATGTAGGGATTTACACCCCACCCACCAACACACACTCACATACTCCCCATCTTATTTATTGTATTATGTTTAATATCTTGATCGGACGGCTGAACAGTTGCCAAAAATGGGGAAAGGATATATTGATAGAGTGTGAGAATGTTTTAAATTAACTCAAAGCCGATTGAAAAAAATTACACATAATATCTAGGAGGTTGGAAAAATAACAAATAATATTAATAATGCTAAAAAAATTTACCAAGTACTTCCTAGGAGTCTGAAAATAATAACAAAGATTATCAAATAATACCTAGGAGTCTGCAAAAATATTAATAGTACTGTAAAGGCTTTTATTTTAGATGTACAATTAAAAATTACTTTAAATTTTCTTCATTTGTTGCTCTAAATCTTTCTTTTAATGTCCAACGACTTTATTGCCTGATTTCATTTCCGTTTCCTCTGTGTCTTACCCCACTTCCTGTCTCATTTGTCGCATTTGAACAATTTTCATTGCCCGCTTTTGGGCGGCGTCAAATAAATAGTTTCTTCCCTTCTTCGACTTCTTGTTGTGTGTGTAATTTATTAAATGCTCCTTTTTTTTGGGGCGACGTCGGGCATTTTGTCAATGGCTGGGAATTTTTATATTGCCATCGAATTTTGGCCAAAAGTATTTCCACCAATATTGGCAAGAAGATAGAGTTGCAGCACGACAGACACCAGACAATTGTTTGCTGATATTTCGAGAAGAGGGGAGAAGGAAAGGTGGAAGGTGTCCTTGGGTCTGAGAATGATTTTCATTTTCAACAGCTGCCAGAACGGAAGCCCCGGCATACTACTTTCTTCGTCTGTCGTCTTAGTCTGGTTGCTTTCTCTCCCCCTCCCTCCGTTTCTCCGTCTCTGTCTCGGTCTCGGTCTCGGTCTGAGTCTCAGTCTCAGTCTGCTTCCGGCTGCTTTCATGACCGTGAAAGTGTTGCCCTTGTTCCTTGGCCCAGGACCCTCTACGCTTGGCTAGCCATTGTTGCAGTGCCAGATATATGTATGTATAGTATATAAACAAATATATATATACCGTATATAGCGTAGCTACAGTCAGTTTAAAGTCGCGACTGTTTGCCCAACATAACGAGATACTTTTGGAAGCCAAAATCAAACACACATGAGCCACCACCCAAAAGCAGAAAGAGGAACTTGGGAAAGCACAGAGAAAAAATAAATATTATTATGATTTAATTGGAATTTGTAATATATACTTTAAAGAAATATACCTTAAGTACATACTTTTCAATATATTTATAAAGTAAACTCATTTTGTATTAAAACTTTTCCATTGCTATATCTTTTAAAGTTCTGCATATTTTAAAACAATTTCTTTGAGTGACTGAGGGAAAGTCAGCATCAACCCTCCTCGGTTTGAATTTCCACTGTGCGCCACTCAAAAATGCAGCCAGGCTACTCAGAAGTCGATTCCATCCGGGTAGAACCACTGACTCCTGGTTATTCCTTCCATTCCTTTGGGGGTGGCTGCACCACCACTGGCCAGAAGGAATTCGAGCCTTAAAAACATCAAGCTATTAGAGAGATATCCTCTGCATGGCCATGTCTCGTGTTATTTTTTTATGGGTCCTGGCAAATCTGTAAACAAATGAGTGAGTGGGATCTGTGTAGATACCAGATAGCAGCAGATAGCTATAATATTCAGAGGGGGAAAGTCTAACTTAATAAGTATCGCATTAGAGCATTAGGAATATGAGGGGATATATATATGGGGATGATAAAATGCGTTGTTCGAAATGGAGGATAGTCTTCGGTATCCATCTAGCAGGACATTTACGCATCCAATTTTGTCTTGGATTGCAACTACAAATTGTTGAACTAAGCTTGGCATTTACTATTTCTAGGATTTTATTGCATATAAGGAGATCTAGGAAATGAAGCTGTGATATTATTATAATTATTACCTAGGTTTTGTTGCCAAATGAAATACTTTTCTAATCTATATTATAATAAATATTAAATCTTTTATTTTTGTTTCCTATACTTCATAATATTTTAGCATTTAAATTTTTAACATATTTGATTAAGTAAAACATTAAAGCACAATCTGCAAAGGTTATAGCTCCAATGTTACTTGAAATGTAACTTGAAACCATTTAACTTTGACCCCACTGCCTGGGTCCTCTGTTGCCCTGTGCCCATTAGAAGGACTCTGTCCGGTAAATGACTATCATTGGGTCTTTCTACCAAATACAAAAAAAAAGAAGAAAGGAAACCAAGTTGCATTGGCTGGCATTAACTGCTCCTCCTCCTCCTCCTCCTCCTCCTCCTCCTCCTCCTCCTCCTCCTCCTCCTCCTCCTCCTCCTCCTCCTCCTCCTCCTCCTCCTCCTCCTCCTCCTCCTCCTCCTCCTCCTCCTCCTCCTCCTCCTCCTCCTCCTCCTCCTCCTCCCCTCCTCCTCCTCCTCCTCCTCCTCCTCCTCCTCCTCCTCCTCCTCCTCCTCCTCCTCCTCCTCCTCCTCCTCCTCCTCCTCCTCCTCCTCCTCCTCCTCCTCCTCCTAGGCGCCACTCGACAAGTTTCAAATAGTTCTCGTTTTGGCCTCCCAAGGCGAGCCCAGGAAAAAAAAAGAGTCGAAAAAGGGACCCAACCGCATCGCACCGTTGCTGACGTAATAAGCAATACTTAAGACCTAATGCAGGGTATAAAATATGCGCAGCATTCATACGCCCACCTCGCACTCTACCGCCAGGACACAAGGGTTGCTCCTGGTTGGTTCGGGTTGGTCCCTTTCGTCCTTTTGGGTCGCCCGCAGTGCGCGCTTCTTGCCGCTGCTGTGATTTTTGATTTAAGCATAATTTCGCAACATTTTCGCTGGGTTCTGCCTGCCCTGGCCCCCTGTTGTGAGCTTTGAAAAATTTCAAACATTTCTTCAAGGGATTTGTGCAATTTTCCCTTTTTTTTTGCTCGTTGCTCCTTCTGTTTGTCTGCTAACGTTTTTCTTTTCTTTTTTCCCTCTTAATGCTCAGTGCTCCCCTTCTGTTTTTTACTCGCATTTAAATGGTTGGCAAATAAACAGGAGGCGAACATTTTGCATTTCCATTTCATTGCGTTTTGGTCTTGAAGGAGACCGAATGCTCTCTGTCTGTCTGTCCCTGGCAGCTTCTGGGCTTCATTTCCTGCTTGTGATGTTTGTGCTGCTGCTGCCACCATGGCGTATGATTAATGCTTGAGGAGCCAAAGGGACAGCTGAAAGTCGATCTCCACTTGAGTTTACCTTCCACTGCCGGCAACCCGTTTAATAAATGACATCAAAAATTAAAATTCGCTGCCGGCGCGTAAATCAAATTTACAAAAGCGTACACACCTCCCTCCCCCTTATAGTCTTCTATATAGAGTGCGATATGCATCTGAAAGGTATATCATCATCAACACAAAAATAAAGGTGAGCCCAGGCAGCCAGGCAACCTAATTTGACACTGAGGCAGAAATAACTCAATTAGTGCCACAGCGTGACCCTTTTTTTTTTCGTCTCTTCCAAGGGTTTTAAAAAAGAAATCCGGATCCGTGGTGTTGTTAGTGGTAACGAGCCAAGTGGAAAGTGTGTGGAAAGCGGCGCGGAAAAGCCCTCGACTTTTTGTCCCAAAGCCAGAACACGCTCCGTTGGCTGGATCCATTCCGGTAATGAAGGGAGTATCTCGAACGTTTTTTAAATTAAATGCGTCCGGCAGTGCAAATATTTGGATCAATGGAATATTTAAACTTCCAAAGGAGATCTAAAAAAAAATAGATTAAAAACAAAATTAAGTGAGAAAGCTAATGGAAAGGATAGACTATGAAATACCTAGTAGTCAAAGCAGGATTTATGCTTATTATATAATATTTAAATTCTTTTATTTGAATTGTTCAAAATCAGAAAACTTATAATCACATGTAATAAAAAGTTCCCAAAAACAATCCACTTCCTCTTGGTTAGATAAGAAATAAATCCTTTTACATTTTGTTACCATTACCATTAACCTTCTGGCATTAGCTTTGAAGCCTGAATCCTTTTGCCGGGCTCATTGAAATTCATGTGCGAACATCGTTTATCTTTTGATTAGCTTCCCCAGGGTATCGCCACGGTCTACTCACTCTAGCTTATATTTATGTTCGAATAATTTACATTTGCATAAGCATTTTGCCTTGGCATCAATTCGGGCATCGCTTACACTTGGCAAACATCATCATCGTTGTGACAGAGGGTGACACATGGCACGGGGATATATATATATATGTGTTTCCAACCAAAAAGGACACCATCCCCTATGCGAGGCTGCACTTTTGATGCTGCTGAAAAGTATGCTATGAAGCACAACGCCCACTCCGCCACACCGAGGAGAACTTCAAAAGCCAGCCCTTGGCAATTTTCAATTAAAAACGCCTACAAACGTTGTACAGAATTTCTGTCCTACTCTGTTTTTTGTTTTTGGCCCCCTCCCTTAAACCCAGGCCTGCGGCTAAAAGCTCCAGTTCTCCAGCTTCTGCTTGGCTTTCCTCTGGAAAATTCTCTGCCTTAAAGTTGGTTAGCTCCCCTCGGACAGTTCTAGAAAATTACGCTCCGACATGGAATTGCACTCACTCGCTGTGCGGAGATTACAGCAAAAATGGCCAAAGGCAGTGTGTCGAGTGTCAAGGAGGAGAGAAATATGCTAACAAACTTGGTACTAAACTTGGTCAAGTGTAGGTGTTCCAGCAGAAGTAGGTCCTTAGGCTGTAAAGAAAAACCTTTAGAAATCTTGATATCTAACCTTTATGTTCCATGACCACTATTTAAAATATTTAAATAAAATTAATTTCTCCTCCTTTTCTGTGCAGTCGCGCACGTCCCTAGTGTCCAGCTCCGAGGGCGGCATCCTCGCCGAAGGCGAAACATCCAGCGATGATGGCGAAGAGGAGGAACCGGTCGAGGCCGAAGATGAGGATGAGGGCGGTGAGAGTAGCCGTGATGATTCCAGTGACAATTCACCGCCATGCGACCTGGGACTGATGGAGCGCCTGCTTCTCACCCATCCAATGTGGTTCCTGCCTGGCATACAACGTTCCGGAGCCGTGCATCTGCTCCAGGGCAAGGAGGAAGGGGTGAGTGGGAATCCACACCGATAATTATTAATTTATTGATTTAGCTTAATGAGACAATTTGGTGAATCAGCAAACACACATGCGACCGCACAAATTTACACAACAATGAAGGAGGGAAAAAAAACACAGGGTAGAGATTCATTCGCATTTACATATACAAATTGCAATCAATTAACGAGCGGCGGTCCAGCCGTGTCCTGCTGGACATGTCCTGCGTAGCCATACAGAGATTCGTAGTAGAGCTGGGGAAGATTCATTAATATTACGACAGGACAACAATGCCAAGCCCTTTTAATTGTAAATGTATAAAGATAAACAAAGAAATGTAGCCAGGACCAGGACCAGGACCAGGACATGGGACTAGAATCAGGGACTGCTGCTGCTGCTGCTGCTGCGTTTGCAAATTCATTGAAATTTATCTGACTCGAGCAGCAGCGAATGGCAGACAATGGTGGCCAGAGGAGCATCCAAGCCATCCAAGGTTGAGGTTGTGGAGAGCAGCATATCTAGGATGAGAAACGAGCGGCCATTCACAAAAGGCGACAAGAGACAAAAGGCAAGCCAGTAATGGTCAGCAGGCAGTCAGGAAGAGATTGAAAAAAAGGCAGCTAAAGGAGCAGGAGAACAAGCAGGAAGAGGACCAGGAGTAGAACCAGCAGCACCACAACTCCTTTCCCTCTTTCTCTCAGTGCTGCTGGAACTGCTGTCTGGACAGGAGTGGGTTGACCATTTTGCGATTCAAAGCTCTTTGCATAGACAATTGAAATTACGGGCGAACCTGGCTAGAACCTGGTTGGAACCTGGCAGATGATAGGACAGGTAATGCCTGACCGGAAGTAAGAGAAAGTGGAAAGCAGAGCAGAGTTAGGTGTATGAGAACTTAGTGGAATGTCCAACAAATTGTACAGATTCAATAAGGCAAAGGTCCCCCCAGCTTGAAGGCAGCAATTATCACATGGGGGAAACTCATTAAGGGATCCAGTGATTTCTCTCGTCTTTTGTTTTGTAAGGCTTCTTTGAGCTGGGATATTCCGCCACCTTTTGTTCAATATTATTTGAATGGGTTTACCCATGAAAATGAACATTTTTTCAATTACCAACTTTTTTGGCGAACTTTGTGGCAATATTTAACTGTCAAGTGAAACTTTAAACAAAGCAAATAAAAGGGGAATACTCTAAAAGATATAGAGTTTATAATAAATATACAAATTTTATTTTAAATTCCGTTTTTAGGTTTATAATAATTGCAATAACATTTTACACACATTTTATACCCTTGCAGAGTATTACAATTTCAGTCAGAAGTTTGTAACTCTTAAAGGAGTCATTTCCGGCCCTATAAATCATATATATTCTTGATCAGCATCAACAGGCCAATATTTCTAGCCATCTTCGACAGAAAAATTTTATTTTTCAATTTTTTCAAAAAAGCAAAGGGGTTACATCGTTAAAATTGACAACAATTAACAAAAAATTTAATTTTCTTAAATATAAAATAAGGTATGGAGCTTTATAAACCTACTAATAACTAACACAGGAACGCTTTTCAAAAATAAAATTAATATTTTTTTTTGCTTAGTTATGAGTTTTTAAAAAATGCGATTTGTCAATAAAAATGGTCATATAAAAATATCCATTATTTCAAGCTTAGTTATGGTCGATTTTCGATTCGTTTTTCGATAGTTTCCTTTCTTATACATATATCTCACTTTTCTTTGATATGCATTCCTAGACTATGAAAGTCTGGTATAAAGAGCATTCGTTCAGCGACATGGTCAGGAAAATGGAAAATGGCACGCACACTTCTTATTTGAATGGAAATCTCTTTTCTCGTTGGTTCTTTACTTTTCCCTCTGTTCGTTTTTTCTTTTTGCTGCTCTGCCAGCTCTGCAATTTTCAATTGTCGAACGCGTCGTAACAATGGCTCATTGATTGCAACGGGCCGACTTCCGACTGCAACCCTAATGCTCCTCCCACTTGGATTTACCTCACTTTTGCTACAGTGCACTGGCAGAAAAAAAAAGAGAATATTTCTTATTTGGGTATAAAAAAGAGGTTACTTAGAGGATCCCTGAATTATAGAGATTTTACAGTAAATATTTTTGGCAACACTATTACCTTTTTAAGCCCAAAAAAACAATGATTGCTGTGTATATCTTTATTCAGTTAATTTTCGATTAAATCTGTTATAGATTATATAGTATTATTCCTCATAGAAATACCTATATTTTCCGTTCAGTGCATTTAAAATTTTGTGCAGGAGGCTTTGCACAAGTTTTTCGCCAACTTTTGCATTTTTGCTGCTTGCTCTTTTTCAGTGCGTCTCGTGACTGGAAAACTGTCTGCTGATTGTCCTTTCCCACACTCCTTGACAGGATCCTCTGTGCCATTCATTGCTAATTGCATGCGTCAACAGGGAGAGGAGCTAGGGAGCTGGGAAGCTAAGGGAACAGCCTCAATTATACGGCAAACGCTTTGGAAAGCTCCTTAAATCCCCCATTAGAATGCAGGACACTCGCTCTCCTTCCCTTGTTTATGCGTTTAATATATAAATGTATATAGGAAGAAAAAAAGAGAAGCAAAAGCATTTAATTGAAATTGAAGTAGTCCCGCACTCGTTTTGTGTGTAAATGTTTGTAATTAAAAATCAATCAATACGCTAGCCATTGGACCGCCTTTTGTGGCGTCACATGTGGCGATCCATTTGCCTGCCTGGTATTTTAATTACTCGCTGGGCTTGCCCCCATCGAAGCTTAACAGATTTTCCCTAGCCATGTTTGCAAGGTATTCTGTTGATTTTTTCCCCGGTATCCTGGCATCCAGGCATCCAGGCATCCTGGCATCCGATTTCGATTCCGCTTTTTCCCCCATCAATCATAAATTGGGGGAAGAGGAGGAGCCGGGGCAGGAGTAGGAGTAGGAGTAGGAGGTCCTGGTGGTCACATGTGCGTATGTCTCGCATTTCCATTCACCTCGCACCGATTTATGTACGTACTTTTTTTTGCCAGACTTGGCAGCCTGTGTATTTGTTATGCCGACCACAGAATGTAATTAGCAGCAAATGTCGATGGTTGATGGACCAAACGATGACCTGACCACTGGGTTTCAGCCTGGACAACAGCTGGCCCAGCAGCGGATGACGGTGAGGAGGATGAGGTGTAGAATAGGCAGGATATGGTGGTGATTGGAGGATTGAACGATTCAAAGGAGTCGCGACATCATTAGCGCTCGACACCTGTCCAATGAGCGATGGTTCTTTAATGGTTGTTTTAGCTGAGAGGCTGGAATATTTCAGCAGGAATTCATTATGTATTAAGGAGGAGTAATATCCTTAAAGATCTGGGGATTACTTGGCAGAATTTTACAAATTGTTTAATATAGATAGGTAAAGAGAGAAGCTTGTTTCTTTCATAAAGAAATCGTTAAATTTCTGAAATGGTATCTACAATATTCAACATCAAAACATATTATTGTATTTATGGGTTTATGGGTTTTATTCTGTTTCTTTTTATTATTTTTCTGAACTATTTTTATGGGTTTATTATTCTGTTATTGTTGTTTCTCTCTCATTTTAATATTCTTTATACAGGGTTTCCCTGGTCCTTTGTTCTGACCATATTTTTTCACACAAAAACTAATCTTTTCCCACTGACAGTTGAAATCTCACCATGGCAATCTTAATTCAGACTTTTTGGCATTAATAATTCCGTATGCATTCATTGCACTCTGTCGATTTTCGATTAATTTATTCTTTTCGCATTTTTCGCAATCGAAATGAGTTTGATTGGGGGAATCACACACACATCCTTTTGATCCTGGATCCAAATCCTTTGTTTGTTACGCTCTTGAACTATTTTTTGGACGCCTTTTGCTTTTGGCAACGTTTGATTTATGAATGCATGACCAGGACCAGGACCAGGGTTCAGGGTCTTTCTGGCCCAAAATGAACTTGTTAAGCTGCAGCTAAGGCCAATCCGCATTGACATGCTTAAATGGCCAAAAACGGAACAAACAGTTAAATTGAATTTTTTTTGCTTCCCCGGCTGCGGCTTTTCGTATTTCTCTGCTGTTTGCAGCTGCTGTTTGGCATGTGTTTCAATGTCACCCTTTTTATCTATTTATTTGTATGATTTTTATTTTTTTTTGTGTTCCTTCTGGTGGTAAAAAGTCAGACGATGTTAAAAAACGGAAAACATACAGGACCGTGGAGAGTGTCCGCACATAGGCGCAGACAGTTTTTATTTATCACCCAAGCACATCGTCCTGAAAGTGGAGAATTCCGGAGACTGGGATCCTTTGGTGTGGCATGGATCGGGTGGCAAATGGCCATCAAAAGCAGGCACTGGCAGCAGAGAGAGTGGAGTCAGTCAGTCAGTTAGCCAGCTGATGAGGCAAACGATAAGGGAAAGCAGACAGTTGCAGGATGAGATGCCAAGCTCCGTGTCCTGTTCAATTCGATTTCGTCCCCCCTTTCCCCATTTATGGGTGTATGTGTATATGTCCGAAAATGATATTAGCAACCGCACATGGCAAGGAGTTGGGGAAGAATAGGGGGAAACAGGAGCCACAGGATGTGGTATTTATTGATGTGTTTATACGGCCTTAAAGTCATTTTAAATGGTCACTAAGTTTAGTATTCAAGATTGATGTATTAATTACTATCAGATAGTTTTCTTTTTGGATCCTTGGATATATTCTGATATACCATAAAAACCTTTCCCCTCGAATAGCATTCCTACTATACTATACTCTACTGCATATACATCAGACGTTCCATAAATTCACCATAAAATAGGAAAACAAGCATTAATGCAAAAGTTTTTCTCATAAATAACTGTCTCATTTAATTAAAAGTTTCCTTTTAATGTCAACTCAGATTTAAATCAATAATTTCCGTCCCTGCACTGGTACATACATTTAAATTTTAATTGAAAAGTTAACTATGCAGTTATTTAAGCTGTCATATTTATTAGCCCCTCTCTCTCTTTTTCTCTATATTT